CTTTCCCTCCACCTCTTCGGCTGACTGCAGTTTTCAGACTGCACGGGCTTCTCACGTAATGCCCACTCTGTGGGACACCCTCAGCTCATCTTTGACCTTCTCTCCCCTTCCTAGGGTGTCTGTGAAGATCCACAATCGTGCAGGGGGGCGGCTGGGAGGAGAGGGTATCACCAGGAGTCATCTCACCTCTAGGAGCTCTGAGCCTACCCCCTGCCAGCTGGTGGCCAAAGCTGGGCTGGTTCTTTGTCTATGGTTCTTCCACCTTCATCCCCGCCCAACTGTCTGGACCCAGGAAGCATCCAAATGGCAAGGATATGCAGAACAGCATGGGCCTGCGCTGCCAGACAGGCACTGTGTGCATATGACATGGCCTTTGGTTCTGGACCAGAACTGGCTGGGTGGGAAGACTGAGGGGTTGTGGTGGGAATAAGTGGGGCAGGCGGTGTAAGGGCTGCCCTCAGAAGCCTGAAGGGCTGCCACTGGCACAGTGAGCACCTGCGGGCAGGAGTTACGGGGGCGGGGTGGGCAGAGTTTCACCACACGGCTGACATCTCCCAAGCAAGTCAATCCATGGCTTTGGCTTTGCTGGCTCTTGCCTTCAGGCCATGAGCCCTTTGAGAGCAGGAACGATTTGATCTGCTTGGTTCAGAGGAAGAGGGTGACTCTGAGGTTGAGGGACTGCACCCCAGGCCACTCCAGTGGGGAGGAGCCCCTGTGGGCCACAGGGCAGTTTCCAGGTGCTCTCACCCGCCTCTGCAGCCTTGTCTCTCCCTCCTACCTACTTCTCCTCTGCGCAGTCCAGTCAGAAACCACTTGTGGTTCCTGAATAAGCCAGCCTCTCTCATAATTCCATCAGGCTCTCCTGTCATCTGGACACGTTCACTTCCTCTCTCTGAGCCCGCATCCTCATCTGATGATCCTATCTACTGCTGAGGTTGTTTTCTGTGTGAAAAGCACCTAACGGCAGGCTCAAAGCAGGTGTTCAGAGGGGCCAGCCACTGCCCTTAATAAGGAGCCCTTCCCCATCTCTCCCACCTCCACCTGCTCTGACTGGCAAAGCCAGCGGAAAACAAGCCTGCCACACAGCCACACCGAAGCCCACGACCAGCAAGGCAAAGCCCTGTTTCAAGTGGGAAGCACAGTCCCGTTCTGGCAACGAAGAGAAGCCCAGCGACTCCTGCATGTCCCGGCTCCCCGAGCAGGAGCAATGGGACAGCCTGGAGTTGTCCCTCAGCCCCCTCCCCATTGCCCCAGAGAAATGAACGCTAGGGAGAAAGAGGAAGGAGGGTCCTGGACTGTCCTGCCACTCTGAAATCGGCTCTTAGAACAATCTAGGATGAACTGTGGCTAATGTGTTGATTCAGTCAAGAGTGCAGAAAGTCCTTCAAAGTGGGAGATGGCCAATACCTTTAAGAGAAACAATTCCAGTTCTCACTGCTAGACCTTTTCCTGCCACCCGGGGTTAGGAGGCCCTGGGCCTAGCGGTTTGGGCCCCACTCCATCAGTAAGAGAGGCAGTGGCAGGCTGTGGGCCTCCTGGGTCACGGGGATACCACTCATCCTCTTAGCCCTCTCTCAAAGCCCAACTTTTGTGAGCACTCCTGTGTATTGGTGAGAGTGAACCGAAGGCTGGAGGAGGTGGAAAAGAGCTCTGAGTGGAACAGGCCCCAGGAGGAGAGCCGTGACAAAGAGAAAACTGAGCCATAAACAGTGATGTCTGAAGAATCAAGGGGTCAAAAGGAGTGCTTGAGGACTGGAGATAGGAAGACTGGAATTCTGCCCAGGAAAAGAGGGAGAGCTCAATAAACCACAGACCAGTGAGCCTGAAATCAAGTCCAGGCGTACCTATAAAATAGATGATTCATATATGACTTCTGAGGACTTACAAGGGAAAGTAGCAATCTCCAGGAGACAGGAGGGGTTGACCAAAGATTAAGATATGCCAAGACAACCACATCTGTGCTCTGCTGTAGGACAATGATTGCCTATGGCGTGCCAAGCATCGTATACATATACATATACATATTATCTCATGCGAATCCTCAAATGATCCTACGTCATTAATGCTGGACCCACTGAGCACTTACTATGTGCCAGCCCCTGGGCGGAAGTCTTTTCATGCATTTGCTCATTTAATTCTCTTAAGAATCATAAAGGTTGGTACTGGCATTGACCTTGCTTTTTGGATGAGGAAACTACGGCCCAGGAAGCTTTAAGTAACTTGCCCAAGGTAACAAAATCAGACCACGGAAAAGCCAGGGTTCAAAACTCCAGTATTTCTGGCCTCAGGGCCCATGCAGGCTCTTAGTCACTGACCATGCTCTCCGGGCCTGTATGTGGGTAGGCATTAAGATATTCATTTTCCAGAGGATAAAACAGAGGCTGAGAAGGGTTAAATCATTTGCTTGAAGCTGCGCAGTTAAAGAATTAGAGAGCCGAGATTCAAACCCAAGTAGTATCTGCTGCCAAAGCCCGCGGTGCCTCCAGTACAGGGGAGAGCCGGCAGGAGGCATTGGCTGACGTCAGCTGCCTTTTCAAAGGCACTTGTCAGAGACCCGTGCTCAGAGTCCAGCTCAGACCGCACGGGATTTTCAGGATCAAAGCTGGTATTTTTACGGACCTTGGACGGAACACAAGGCGCGAGCCCAGAGGGGAACAGAGGTGATAGAAACCCAGCTCTAAAGAGCCAGGACAGATTTGCGGGCCACGGTGGCTTTCTCCTTCAAAAGTTTCAACTAGCTTGTGATCTGGCCGACAGGGACATACGTTATCTCTTCCTTGTGCCTTCTCCTCTCCCAAATGGAGATAATAATCCTTACCTGGCCTTGCAATAAGGCCATCGGAATAGTCCAATGAGATAAGAATGTCAAGGTCTTTGAAGCCTGTGAAGTGTCTTGTACACGTGAATTACTGATCTTCTCCTTATCTATGCCTCTTCTGGTCAGAGCTCATCATCTCCACCTACATTCCCTACAAAGCACACACAAAATCCAAAGCCATCACATGCCTCCCCCTGCAGCTACAGCATTTGCTCTGTTCTGTCCGGTGTACAGGGCTGTGCCCCGCCTCGGGCTGCGTGTGCACCTTGGAGGCAGGGATTCCGTCTCCTCCTCTATGTCACTCACAGAGCCCTTCCCAGCCTTAGTTGAACTAATGTTACCTGAATCACACCGGAACGATTTTAACTATCTAAGAGGTACTTAGAGTGCTAAAAGCTGAGGGTGACGTCTAAGCCTCGGTCTTTGACCTCTAAGAGCAAGGAATCTGGCTGAGGGGAAACCAAGACAGACGCTAGAGTTTACTCCTTCTCATATACCAGAGCCTTGAGACTAACCGGCTTTCACTGTTCTGCTACCCCTCACCCCCTTGGAATTCTCTGAGACTGCCAAGCCCTGGTTTAATAAACACCACTCTCACTCGAGGCTCGTGAATGTTTTAGAAAGGGACTTTCTATCAACATATTTCCAGCACCTAACACAGTCCTGGCACAAATGGATGCCCTTAATAAATGATGAATGAATGAAAGAATAAATGAATGCACATACACACAAATAAATCTGTACTTTATAAAGCAGAAGATCTTCATGCTTTTTCTGTCCTCGGCACTTATTTCTTTGGGAGAAGGCAAACAGGAAAGGGCAAAAAAGGAGAAAGAGACTGGTGTTTATCGAACACTTACAATATGCTGGTCACAGGGCTTTATTCTTTACACATGCTTCTTCCTTTAATTTTGACACCACGACAGAGGCTCCCAGCGAAGGGACTCTCTGGGTTAGAGAGCGAGGTTCCTTCCCATCAGAGAGGGCAGACTCCCATGCTAAGATCATACAAAAGGAAAGTTCTACTTTACAGAGAGATGTCCTTTGGGAGGATTAGGCTGGGGGGGTCACCTCCATGTCAGTGACAGTGAAGTCCAAGGGCTAAAGGAGGGCATGTGGGCAAGGGCCCAGAGACAGGCTCCCAGGACCAGCTGTTAGGAGACCCCTGGGAATAGGCTTGTGGCACTTTCTGGGCTTGTTTCCTCATCAGCAACGTGAGGGCAACACCCTATATCCTATCTAAGCTCGTTCACAACTCCAAGGCTCCAAGTTCTAGAGAATTTTTTCTGTTAAGTCCATCTTGTGCTCATTTGTGGAATGAATGAATGAATGAATACTCAAAATGAAGAATTGAGTCATTCAGCGAAGTCTCTCAAACAGCTTCTTATACCACCTTGCTACTGCTCCCACCCTTCTGCCCCTACCCTCCGCCGGCTGCACCATTACAACTCCTGGCTGCCAGAGGACCTGCTCGCCACTCCGAGGTGCCCCTCGGGCTCAAGAGGTCAGGCTCTGGCTCTCTGCCCTCTCCCATCTGCAGACTGTAGGATCCCAATGCCTGGGGAAGTCAGCAATGATTCCTTTTTAAAACTGAGCGTCCCTGACCTGTGGATGATCCAGCACGCAAGATGGACAAATATCCTTGAGATGGGGCTCCTGGCAAGGTGGAAGGGAGAAAATGCACAAGGGGAGGCCTCCAAGAGCAAAGCTTGAGCCAGGCGCAGGGGGCGGGCAAGGATGGTGCAGCCCAGGCCACGCATCAACCCCAGGCTGGAATGTGCTGCTGAGAATCAAAGAGGGTCTTTCAGTCCCTTTCTGGCTCTTCTCTGCCTTGTTATAGGTTTCTTGGGGGTGTGTACAGTGCAGGAGCCGTTACAGCAGGGGGTGTTTTCCCAGACTCAATCAGAGAGCTTTCCACCTTCAAATGTTAGCCCCTTCCCCAAAATTCGGTACACTGCATTTCAATCACATGCTTACATGTTTACCTCCATCACTACGCCCTCCCCAGCTTCCAATGTCTTAGTCTTCTTTGTATCTCCCCAAGTTCCTAAGCTCAGAAAGCATGTGGTCAATGTGAGCTGACTGACTGAATGAACAAATACATATGTAACTCCTTTTCTCTTCTATAACAGAAGACCTTGAGAGGCAGAGAAGTTGGTTAACCTACCCAAGGTCACACAGCCAATTACTGGTTAGGAAAGTCAAGAGTTAAAAACCAAATCAGTCCCTGGCTTAGCCCCTCCACTAAATGGTATGAAAAAGGAGCTAATGGTAATTCAGCATCAACAGAATGCAAGACAGTATGCTGTGTATCCCTATGCTGCGAGAGGGGCATTATTATTTCGATTTTACGGATGAGAACACCAAGTCTCAGAGAGGTACCCTCTGCCTAGATTGCTCCTTGCTCTTCCCACCCACTCACCCCTGCCTGGATAACAAAAATGCATCCTTGAGGCTCCAGCTTAGAAGTCACTTCCTTCAGGAAGCCTTTCTTCCCCGATCCCCCAAATTCGGTGGATGCCGCTCCTCTGCTGTCCCACAGCAGAGCTTCTATCCCTGTGCTGGCACTGTGTCGGTGGCTGTCTCCCGTATCAAGCTTTGAGCTCCTCGAGGGGAGTGGGCAAGGGCGGTATCTTGAATGTACTGAACTTTAACCACTAGGCCAAACGCCTGGCACACAGCAGAGACCAGTAAATATTTGTGGAAGAAAGGAGGGAGGAGGGAAGAACACAAGGAAAGAAGGCTCCCAAAGCCACAGCGTTGGGAAGTGGGGAAGCTGGGTTTGAATCCAGCCCTATCTGCCTCCAAAGACTAGACTAGAACAGACTAGACTACATCCATGAGAACATACAAACTCCCCTTAGAGTAGGGAGCCTTTTATTACACTCTTGTGGATTTATCTTAGAACTTGGCACATTATCATTTTCTGATTAACAAGTGCTAATCGATGGACTTTTAAGCTTTCACAGGTCACGGAGAGCAGGTGTGATTTTCTGGGACACCCATGGTCCCTGGAGCAAAAGGCACCGCACATGGTGGGTGCTTTACGCATACTTGTGTCTTGAGCTGATTTATAGTCAGTCCATCCCACTGTGATGACGACAGTGACTCGGATCAGAGAAGAGCCAGCCATTGGCCCTCAAGACGACATTCAAGGCCTGTGGGGTGGGAGTGCCTGGAATGATCAAGACACTGAAACTATGGTCGGGGCCAAGTTTGTCTAAGTGTTTTAAGACTAAAGAGGAACATGCTGATACAAAATGCAGTGTCTTACTGCCCCAGAGGGTTAGGAGTGGCTTCTGGAGTTTAAACTCAGGTCATCATCATACAGAACAGGCAGTTTCCCTGGGAGTTGAAATAATGACGTGGAGAGTTTTTGTTGTTAGTATGCTTTGCTCCCCTCCCACCCTCCACCCCAAAGAAGTTTACAGGAGGCGTAGCATACAGAGTGCAAGGAAAATAAAAATTATTCATCCGAAGACCAGGAAAACACTTTTTCTCTCCGAAAACCTCAGTTCTCTCCCGCCTCCCACCCCCACTCCAAGATCAATACAGTTTTCACACTTTTTTATAGTTAGGGTTTCTCTTTGAGATTTTATTTTGATAAAAAATGTTAATAAGTTTTTACGTTGCACACCACATGTGACCTCTGATGTCACTGTGCGCCTCTAGGGGCTATGATTTGGCAGAACGGCCAAGGCGGAGTCAGGGGGTGGGGACATGACTAGCCTAGGAGTTGGGGATATGGTTTGAGGTGAGCTCTGCCTCTGCCTCCCCAGGTCACTCTGCCTAAGTCCCAACCTCAGCTTCCTTCTCTGCGACAAGGGCATGAAAAGGCCTCTTGACCGACTCCCTAGGCCACCCTGAAGATCTACTGAGGCACTGCCTTGGGGACATACTCTAGGTAGTAAAAGGCACCTGTAAATATAAGTCAGGTAGCACTTTTATCTAAACATCAAAGAGAAATGAGGCTTTACATGTCAATCTGTTGTCTAGATAACACAAACCTTCCTTCTTGAGTATAAAATTGTATTTGATTTAAACTTCGGGGATGGCACTTATGTCTCTAGACTAGTCTCTTCCCTTTTTGAAGCAAAGAACACTGATGCAGGCTTATTAATGACTGTCCTCAGGGGGTGCGGAGGCTATGAACTTGTGTTATACTGATTTGCTCAATACTGACTGGCCTCTAGCTTTTACAGTCCTGGATTCTTGTGCTCTGAAAGAGCATTTCTGTCTTTTCCTCTCAGGTAAGGAGTCATTTCTCCCTGCTGGCAAAGCTGCTCCCTTTCAGATTTCCCTTGATTCCTGCTTCTAAACCATGTCAGATGTGAATATCTAAAAACCTAGTTTGTTAAATTCAGTTGCAATATAAGAGCCTATCAAGTTCTTCTATGAGCAAACCTGAGGCGTTTTATACATCTTTACATTAATCTAAGGTCGTGTGCCTCTCTGCTCAAAACCTTTTTAATTTTTCTCATTCCTACCAAAACAAGTCCAGACACCCCAGGCTGGTATAGTTTTCAAGGCCTTCAATCACCTGTTCTTAAACTACAGTTGCAGTCTCTGTTCTCAACACCCCAGTGAGACTGCTTGCTGCCCTCTGCTTCCTCTTGTGCCTTGAAAGCCCGCCCACCCTTCAAGGCCCACCTCCCTCCCGAAGTCTCCCTCAGTTACAAACAACCTCGCTCCATCCTTTGAACTCTCCTGTCATCTTATCCACGTCTCTCCTGTGGCACTGATCACTTTCTGACTTAAAAGTAATACATTTGCCAGGATGCTGTCTAACTCTCTTTACTATCCTGAAACCCCCTTGGAGAGGTTTCTTATTACCCCTGGTCCTGCCTCTTGCCACATGGATGCATAAACGAGTGGCGGCAAATACGCTGCCAGCTCTCGTTCTCTGGGCCCCATTTCTTGACGCTGCCCGCTGCGCTCTGGAGAGCTAAGGCTGCCGCACGCCGAAGCTCCTGTCAGATTCGCTCCGAGAGAGAGGAGTGGCTCTCCCTTGGGGTAACTCTGCCCTTCCCTCACACCTCAGGGAAGCTCGGCCTGCCTGTCCCCGGTGCCCTCCCGGAAGGTGGGCGGCACACGCCATGCCCCCGCGGGGAGTGGCAGGCGGCCCGTGGCGGGAGCACTCACCGCTGCCCAGCCTCAGGAGCAGCACGTCCTGCAGGAACCAGCTGCCTGCGAGTCCGCTCCAGCTCCTGCTGGAGGTGGCGCATCTCGTCCTGCTGCTGCTGGTAGTTGCGCAGCAGCTCCTCATACAGAGCCCGGGGCACGCCGGCGTCCTCCAGACTGTCCATGTCCTCTGGGCCCGGTGAGGCCTCCACGAAGACCTCTTCCGGACATGTGCCGTGGCCCAGGCTCAGGCCGTTCTGCTTCTCCAGCCGGGCCACCACTGCCTCGATGCTCTTGTGAGCCACTTCACTCGGCTTCCGGCCCTCGGGTCTCTGTGTAGGACAACGAGAATCAGTTCAGGCAAGGGCAGCTGGGACTTTCTCGGGCTGCGGCTCAATATTTCCCCAGACAATCCTAGAATCACAGAACCACAGAACATCAGTGCTTGGAGAAACTTGTGCAGACACGTAGTCAAAGCCCTTCACTTTACAAAGGGGGAAACAGAGGTCCAGAGCGGGGAAGGGTCTCGCCCGAAGTCACACAGTCAGTTAGTGGCAGAAGCAGGACTCTGGTTTCCCAGGCCAGCACTTCCTCCGTTCCCTCACTCTGCCTCTTGGGTGCATATTATAATATCATGACCGCCCTCCCCAACTCCCCAGCCTCCCACCCTCCCCATAGGGCCCAGGCAGTGATCTGCTCACAGGGAGCATTCAATGTGTATTTGTGGAGAATCAGTAACAAATCAGGCCAGGCCTAGCCGTCCCAGGGGAGCCATCACTCAAATCTCTTCAACAACAAAACATGAAAGCCCCTCCCCCCTGCTCCCCGCTTCCCC